TAGGGTGTTGCTCTCCCAACTGCAGGTGACTAACAGGCGGTGTGCTCTCCCTCTGCCCCCCAGCTGCTGGAGGATCTGGACGAGCAGCTGAACTGCACAGTGTTTGAGGAAGCCGCCCTCTCCCGCAAGATCTGTTCCAGTGAGTGTCTCCATCCCCCACCCCGGGGGGAGGAGAGTAGGCAGCAGGCTGGCAAGATCCCGGCTTGCTCCAAGGGTTCCTTCCCCCTCCCCGGAACGTCATCCCTCCCGGCCTTTCTCCTTCCCCAGGTACAACCTCCTGCTGGCTGAACTTGAGTGTGGCTGTGCTGCGGGAGCGGTTCCTGGCCATCCAGAGCCGGAGACTCGCGCTGGGTAAGGAGTGGGGGGAAGAGGGGATGGAGCTGGACTCCCGGGTTCTATTCCCGGCCATGCCGTTAGCTCGCTAGGCGGTGAGATTGGTTTGATGCTTTGATCCAGGTGGGGGAGGGGCAGTGTTCATTCCCAAAGGGGAAGTTCCGGAGGAGCAGGAGGCTGGTGTTGGCTGGGGCAGGGGTGGAGCCTCGGGCACTTGCTCATCCGGGGCCTGTCCTGTGCTTCTTGGCAGAGCTGCGGCGCCGGGCCTCACCTTGGCAGCGGAACCTGGGCTACCCCCTGGCCATGCTGTGCCTCCTGGTGCTGACGGTAGGTGCTGGGTGGGGAGGGAGCCATGCCTGACACCCATGCCTCAGTTTCCCTGCTGGTCTGGAGTGGGAGGGGTGGTCCCTGATGGTGTTTCCTGACCTACCTCTGCTCCTTCGCAGGGCATCTCTGTGCTAGTTGTCTGCTTCCACACACTGGAGCTGCTGCTGGATGATGCTGCAATGCCACGGGGTATTCAGGTACCACTTGAGGGGGGGGAGGGGGCTCTGAGTGGAATCTGGCCCTTCCTCTACCCCCGCCTTCCCCATTTCTGCTAAGGCTGCTCGGGCCCATGCATGGAACAAGTTTGCTGGGTCTCAGACCAGCTCCCATCAGCACCAGGGTGACCCAGCTTTTTAGCCCCAGGTTGTGGGAAGGAAGGGGGAGAGTCACCATGCACTGTGTAGGCAGTGCTTGCCCCATGGATCCATGGGGGAGGGGTGCCGGGATGTCCCATGACACAAACCTAGAGCTGGCTGGTTCCTGCTCCTGACTGCCCCCCACCAACTGCCTTCTCTCTCTCTCTCTCTCTCTCTCTCTCTCTCTCTCTCCTCACAGGACGCACCCCTGGGGCAGGTCTCCTTCTCCATCTTTGGGTCCTTTGGTGCTGCCATGCAGGTGGTCCTCATCTTGTATCCTTGTGGGGTGCAGTCCCACCCCCTGTGTCTGAGCCCTGCCAGGGGCTGCTCTTTCTAGGTCCTCTGCCAGCTGGTAACTGCCCGGCCAGTCCCGTCCCTCCTTCCCTGTGCCCGCGTCCCCATCCCTGCACCAGCTCCCTGGGTCCAGCACTTTCCTGGGCTTCCTCCTTAACCCTGGGCTCAGCTACCTGATGGTCTCCTCCGTTGTGGGCTTTTACAGCTCCCCCATGTTCATGAGGCTGCTCCCTGCAAGGCAGGATACCCCTATGACCAAGGTGAGTGGTACCTGCCCCTTGGTTGCCTGAAGCCCCCTGCTGGGGACACAGCATCAGAGCTGCTGACACTGCTGGCCACTAGGGACCATGATGGGGTGGGGGACCGCACCCAGGATTCCTGGGTTCTATTCCCCAGCTGGGCCACTGCCAGAGGCTGCATTGCATTGTCTCACCACACGAGGGTGCCATGTACCTGGTGCCAGGCTGAATGGGGGAAAAGCCCATCTAAGTGGGGGACCCCATCCTGCTGGGGTTCCCTAATTCTAGGGGTGCAGCTGCTGACCCTGGCCAGAGGGGGGGTTGTGCGTGGCTTGTGGGAGGGAGGAATTGCTGTGGTGTTTGGGGGGGACCAGGTCCGGTGCCTATACCAGTGTGCACCACGGATTTGGGCAGGGCTGGATTCCAAGTTTCAAGGCCTTTCTCTCCCACCCAGATCATTGGGAATTGTGTGTCCTTACTGGTGCTTAGCTCTGCGCTGCCCGTCTTCTCCAGGACGCTGGGTGAGTTTCCTGGGGCTGTGCTGCACACCAGGCACCCCCAGGGTGGAACTGATGGGTCCCAATACACTCGGGATGGGCAGCAGAACTGGGCCACTGGGGATGTCCTGCCCCTTGGAGCACTGCACAGGGACTAAGGGCCAGTGTCAGAGCGTCTGTGTGGGGGTGCCCGGGGCTGGGATGACCAGGGGTGGGGGGCCAGGAAGGAGGGGCATTGGTGGGGCTGGGAGCAGTGGAGCCCAGCCCATGGAGAGGAGCACTCAGCCTGTTTCTCTCACAGGGATCACACGGTTTGACCTCCTGGGCGACTTTGGCAGGTTTAACTGGCTGGGAAACTTCTACATCGTCTTCCTCTACAACATGCTCTTTGCGGCCCTTGCCACCCTGTGCCTGGTGAAGAAGTTTACATGGGCCGTGCAGGCCGAGCTCATCCGAGCCTTGGGTGAGTGGCCACCTGTGCCCACCGGGAGCCAGCCCTGGCAGCTCTGCCACCGGCCTGCAGGGGGGTGATTGGGTGGGGAGCTGGGGCTGTGGGTGAAGGGGCTCTTGGCCCCAGGCCTTGGCTGCCGGCAGGCTGATGGGCACGGAGGGGGAATGTAAGGGCAGCCCCTAATCCGTGTCTCTCCCCCAGGTTTGCACAAGCTGCCCCTTCCTGTGACACGTGCCCACCAGCCCAGCAAGCTTGGCTAGGATGCTGTGGGGCCACCCGATGGAGGGGAGCTGGGGGATACTGCAGCCCCACCAGACCAAGGAGGGCAGCTCTAGCTCCCATGCGCTGGATTTATTTGTCTCCTGCATTTTGAGCCGAAGAACCGGGGAATCAGGGACTCCCTGCCTGGTGGAAGGGATGGGGGACCTGCCTGACTCCACCCTCCTCTGTTTTGGACCAGTGGCCTGCTGGCGAGGAAGGGGCCAGTGTCTTCCTGGGAGGTTGGCCCGCTGCAGGGCACAGAGGGGGTGCTGTGCAAGGCAGGGGTTTAGCAGGACCAGAAGCTGCCTCACTACAGTAGTTGCTGAAGCTCTCTGCTCGCCCCTGGGCTGGCCCATGCAAGCAGGTTGGAGGCCTGGTTCCATACCTCACTCAAGTGCACCAGGTGGCCACAGGTTGTGCCTCCTGGCTGCTTTGCCAGCTGTTTTCCGGCTGGGTCGCTGTGCAAGGCAGGGGTTTAGCAGGACCAGAAGCTGCCTCACTACAGTAGTTGCTGAAGCTCTCTGCTCGCCCCTGGGCTGGCCCATGCAAGCAGGTTGGAGGCCTGGTTCCATACCTCACTCAAGTGCACCAGGTGGCCACAGGTTGTGCCTCCTGGCTGCTTTGCCAGCTGTTTTCCGGCTGGGTCTTTTTTCAGTTGTCTTTTGTGGGTTTTTTTTTTTTTTTTAAATTCTGTCCCCCTTTTCTCCCCCCCGCCCTGGGCTACTCCTCTCTCTAGTGACTTAACTTGGGTTAAAAGGAGTGGGGCTCCAGGCAGGGCACGGAGCCAGGGAGGTGTCTGTGTGGTGTGGGAGGAAGGGGGGCTCCTTAGTCTAACACTTTAAAGATCCTCTGCTGTCCCTCCTCTCCCGGGCAGGGCCTGGGCATCTTCTTTCTTGCACCCAGGGTGCTGGGGGAGGTTGGGGAAAGGAAGGAGTGCTGCCTACACACCCTCCTCCAGCTGCTGGCCAGGCTGCTGTCTGACCTTGCGGTGTGTGTGGTGTCTATACTGCAGCTGCCTTCTGCAAAAGCTGATGCAAATGAAGCACAGAGTAGAAGATCTGTGCTTCATTTGCATAATTAACTAGCTCTTTTTACAAGAGGCTCTTGTGCCAAAAGGAGTGGTGTAGACAGCTCATTTTTTCAGGAAGACCAGCTCTGGCACAAGAGGAGGTTTTTTGCACACACAGGAGCCGTCTATGCTGCTCCTTCTTGTGCCAAAAGCCTCTTGTGTAAAAATGGAAAATTATGCAAATATTTTACTCTGCTTCATTTGAATAAGCTTTTGTGGAAGAAGACTGCAGTATAGATGTAGCCTGGGGGGATTATAGGCCTTGGGGAACACCTGGGAGCTGGGGTGGGATCCTCTGTCTTTCCTGCAGGAGCTCCTAGAGCAAGCCTGTGCTCAGCCCTGCCCTCTAGCACACCTGGGCTCCTTTGCTGATCTAGTGAGTGTGTCAGGTCTCAGCTCATCCCTGTTGTCACTGGCAGCAGCCCAGGGCAATCAATTGCTGTGTTGTTTTGTTTTATTTAAATAAAAAGTGTCTTTCTTTTTTTAAAATAGCTGGTGGATAGCCTGCAAGTTAGGTGTTCCTTCTGTTCAAATCCCTGATGGATGTGTGGTTCCCAGCCCCTGGGCCACTGAATTCCCCCCTCATCTACCCTCCCCCACCCATCTCTGTACCAAGCTACCCCCAGCCTCACCTGCTGCCCCTGAGCCCCCTGCCTGCCCTTGGTTCCCTGCTTCTCCACCTGGGTACAACTTCCTCTCCTAGGTGCTAGGACACATGCTAAGCTACAGGCAGACAAACACCCCCTCCCAGCTCTGGCCCTGCTCTGGTTGCTGGGGGGCCTGCTGGGTGCTGTTTGTAGCAGCAGCCTAGCTGCTCTTTGGCACATGCATCTTCCCACACCCATTTGCATGCACAATCTCTCCTCCTTCTTTGCCTTTACTTACTCTTTTTCCTGACTGTAGCTAATGAGCCTTTTCCGGTCCCTACACCCCCAAATGAGCCAGGGCAAAGGTGAGGGTTGGGCAGCTGGGTAGGTTCCTGGCTTTGAGGGGCCTATTTTCCTCCCTTCCCACCTCCCCGCTGCCCACAAGCAGCATCATGGCAGACTTCTCAGGCAGCAAGGGCCGGGGCTAGCTGTGCTGGGGCAGGGGAGCAGGTAACCTGTGAGCTGGGTCGTGCTGCAATGGAGGGAGGGCGTTGGGCTGAGTCAGTGGCAGAGCAGAGTGGGGAGAGGGACCCAAGGCTGGGAGAGCAGCCAAGGTGACTTGTTTGCTTTTTCAGCCCAGCTCTACTCTGATCTATGGGCCACCTGGGTTGCTGGTTCTTCCCTGCACCAATGAATACAAGAATGGTCAAAGATCCATCTACCCAGGGTCCTGGCTGCCCAGCATGGCCCATGCCAGGTGCCCCAGAGGGAACAAACAGAAAGACCCTCCCCCTCTGCTCCTTCCCCCCTCACCCATTCCCAGCCTGGGGCAAGCAGGTGACAGCTGCCACCCCTGCCCATCCGGACTAGTATCCATTGATGGATCTACCCTCCATGAGCCCTGTGGTAGGCTGGGCCTTCCCACCAAGCTATAGCATGGGGGGCAGTGACACGTCCAGCCTAATCCCCTGTTTCATGGGGTGTTTGTCACTCTGAGCGGGGAGGAAACTGGCCTAGTGCCAAACATTCCCACCCATCCTGCCCTGGCTCTCCGGATGGGGAGTGGCCAGAGGGGGCTGGGAAGTGGCCCGCCCTGGCTGTCACAGCTGGGAGTCAGCGGCCCCCCGCTGCCCAACCTCCTGTTTTCACAGGGGCTGATCAGGAAGCTGGGTGGGTAGGGCAGGAAATGTGGCCAGAGCTGTCTGGTTTCCCTGGAACAGGCTCTGCTCCCAGCTGCCCCAGCCTGGCAGTGGGACACCCCCCCCCCCCCCCAGCAGCAGGCACTGCCGGAGCCTGCATCTCTCCTGCCTAGGGGCTGGTGGCAGGTGGGGGGAGCCCAGGGCATGGGCCCTGGACCCACCCACTGCTGCATGGGGCCCCAGAGTAGCCCGGGGGAGCAGCTGGGGTGCGGGTGCCCTGGGTGCAGGTCCTACTGGCCCTGGGCTTGGCAGTTCGGGAACCGGGGGCAGAGGATGCTCTGCGCTGCTTTAGGGTGAATTTATGTCACTGTGGGCCCCTTTAACAGCACCTAGAGCCAAGGAGATTGCGCGGAGCCTGCCCTCTGCTGGCCAGAGCCGGAACTGCTGCAGGGCACGCACCGACAT